GGGGGGAAGGTCACACTTCCTGAGGCGCTGGGCTTCGCGGTTGATGGAAGCATTAACTGGTCAGCAGTAGGTATTACTAAGCAGCGGCTGGGGTATTGGTGGAGGAAAAGCAGAGAAGTCGATAAAATAACATCCCAGCCAAGAGTAGCGGCTGGGCAAAATTAAAAAGACATCCGAGTTGAGGAACAGAATTTAAACTCGAACTATTAAGGTAGGCTAAATGGCGCATGCCGTCACCCCGATTCAAAGGGGAGGCCTTTAATCATCATCATCATCATCATCATCATAAAATGAAAAATAGGGCACTGTGGAAATCAATAGGTATGATGTTGTGAGAGGAATGTGGAAAGGGGTCATGGTTCCTGTTCTGACGTTCGGCAATGTGGTCTTGTGTATGAGGTCAGAAGTTCAAGCAAGATTAGAAATTAAGCAACGTGGAATAGGTAGGCTTGCTTTAGGAGCTCACGGTAATACACCAAATCAGGGAGTACAAGGTGATATGGGATGGACATCATTTGAGGGCAGGGAAGCTAGCAGCAAGATAAAATTTGAGAAGCGATTGAAAGAAATGAGGGAGGAGCGTTGGGCTAGGAAGGTTTTCAGCTGCTTGTACATAAAGAATGTCGATACAAAATGGAGGAAGCGAACCAGGAAATTGACTGGTAAATACTTAGAAAACAGCAGGTGGCAAACCAAAAAGAACTATTGGTTAAGAAGACAGTGAAGGAAACGGAAACTGACATGTGGAGAATTGGCATGATTAAGAAGTCCGCACTAGAGATCTATCGAACTTTTAAGCAGGAAATAGCCAAGGAAAGGATATATGATAAATACTCGGGGAAGTTCTCTACTGTTTGAGGCCAGGACGGGAGTATTGCGAACCAAGACATATCGGGCCAAATACGAAGGGGTAGACACAGTATCCAGTGCGTGTGGAGAGGAAAAAGAAACTGCGGAACACTTGATAATGTTCTGTAAAGGGCTTCACCCTATAGTTCAGGATGATGGCGCAGAGTTTTTTAAAGCACTGGGGTTTAGGGACAGGGAGGGCAAAATAGACTTTAAGCGGGTAGACTTAACTAGAAGGAGGTTATCTGATTGGTGGCTAAAGTCAAGGCACGAGTGAAAATTGAACCCCTCACTGCAAAGTACCCATCCAACTTTACTATTTAAAGGGGAAAAAAGATAAATCTAGTGGTTAGTTCACTAAGTATTACGGCTAGATGGTGTTAGCCGCCGCCCGATCTAAAGGGTACAGCCACATACATCCATCCATCTATCCATGGAACGGTGCTGGAATGTAAATGTCGCTCCCGGGAGCAGGCCGCGTACCTGTTTTTATGTTGAACTCTGCATTCCGTTGATGACTGCATTTTCAGGGGGTTTGTAGATTTGGTGAGCCTGATTAATTTGAACGGTGGCGAGAACAGGACACGAACTCCAACACGCTTTCCGATTTTCTTGAGCCTGTGTGATATCTGGTGTTTGTATGGAATCACGGCTATCCTTTCACGTTCTGTATCCGTGTTGCTCGGATTCTGTCGCTGCCTCTGCTCTGCCTTATTAGTTTGCAGGATAGTCTCAGCAACGGAAGCGATAAACTCCTCGGGGAAACCCGAAGCGTTAAGCCGGGAAACTTGAGCTTTGAAGCTCGCAGAGATATCGTGGGCGCACGACCTATTTAAGGCATTCTCAAGGCAGGTTCGTGCTATGCCTCGCTTAACTAACTTGCTGTGAGCGGAAGAAAAAGAAAGTAGAAGTTTCTGTGCACGTGGTTCATAACACCGACAGATGCGCTGTGAGCTAAAAACCAGTCTTAAATCCAAAAAGCGTAACTTGTCATTCTCGGGCATTTCATGTGTCAACACAAGAGGCTTTAAACAATCTTCGAACACACCTATCATTTGTGTCGCAAAGGAGTGGAACATAGAAGAATTACAATTTAGAAGTACCGAGAAATCATCCACGTATCTGAATACTTTGACCACATGCGAGCCTTTAAAACAATCTTCGAACACATTTATCATTTGAGTCGCAAAGTAGTGGAATATAGAAGAATTACGATTTAGAAGTACCAAGAAATCATCCACGTATCTGAATACTTTGACCACATGCGAGCCTTCTAACTTTGCCTGCAGTTTTTTGCCCATTTTTGCCAATAGAAGGTCAAGGTCACTGAGTAGAGGTGCTACGCATGAGCCGATTGAAACACCCTTTTTCTGCAGATAAATGCAATCATTCCATTGAACGAAAGTAGAGGTAAGGTACAGCAAAACAAGGTCAAGAAAATCTCGCGCACTGAAGTTCAATTCCCCGAAAATTTCTATGTTATCCCTTATACATTCTAATCCCTTATACTCTCTGCCTCACGATGAGGTATTAGAATGTATAAGGGATAATGTGGGATGGACTCATTTTTTTACCTTGTATATTACTTTTGTTGTTGCGGCGCGGCCAGCGTGGCTGCTTCGTACTAAATAAACAAGCAGCAGTACGTTTCCTCCGTGCAGCAGGTAGCTTCTGTATCGTGATGTGATAGAGCAGCACACATCATCATTTCCACTCGACACGAGCCGTGTCCTTTCCCTTTCACCTTTCCTGGTGGTGAGGTGAGAGCAAGGACGATTATAAAACTGTCGTTAGCAAGTTTGACGCATACTGGGCTGCGCAAACAAATGAAGTCTACGGGCGGTATATGTTTCGTAAGAGGATGCAGACAGTGGGGGAAAGTTTTGAACAGTTCTCTCGAGACATTAGGGTGCAGGCCCGATCGTGCAATTTCGGACAACTGACAGATTACATGATACGTGACCAAATTGTTATTGGCATTATAGCAACGACGGCCTGCGAGCTAAACTTCTGCAAGACAATGAGCTCACGCTGTCTAAAGCCGACAAAATGTGCAAAGCATCAGAGGCAGCCTGCTCAGCAATAGCGAAGCATGGGGACATAGGGTAGAACCAGTGCTCGGGCTTCGACGAAGCATCCCAAAGCCTTCAAGTGCTCCCGTTGCGGTAAAAAACACAGGCCACGCGACTTGTCCAGCTTATAGCAAAACTTGCAGATTCTCTAAGGCTAGGAATCACTTCGCTGTTTGCTGCAGAAGAGCTGCGCGCGTTGACGAGCTACAGGATGACGACGATGGCGACGACTTTGAAATTCTAGATGTTTGTATCAGCAGCATACAGAATGGACGAGACTGGATGAAACTTGCCGAATCTGTAAGGCAAGGAATCACTTCGCTGTTTGCTGCATAAGAGCTGCGCGCATTGACGAGCTACAGGATGACGACGATGGCGACGACTTTGAAATTCTAGATGTTTGTATCAGCAGCATACAGAATGAACGAGACTGGATGGTGACAGCTGAGCCTTGGCAGCAAGGAAGTCAAATTCAAGGTCGACACAGGATCTCAAGTTAACCTCATACCGTATTCGGTCTACAGGAATCTTCGGCCAATGCCGCCTACCAAACCCAGCATCACCACTCTGCGGTCATATGACTGGACCATCATAAGACACATAGGCGTCATCAGCCAAGAAATGGTCATCGGTGACAGACGCCAGCACTTGACCTTCTACGTCTCAAAAAAAAAAAGGGAAGACAGGCACTACTCAGGCTCAAGGCGAGTGAAATGCTCGGACTGGTGACCAGGACAGTCGACGCCGTGGAGGCAAACAGCTCCGAACAAGTAATGCAAGAATTCGGCGAACTGTTCGAAGGTACCGGCTGTGTGCAACGACACTACACGATGGTCCTCTCCGCGGATGCTGTCCCAGCGGTTCAAGCCGCCCGCCGAGTCCCGTTAGCCCTGAAGGAACCCCTTCGCAGCGAGCTGAAGCGGATGGAGCAAGCGGGCATTGTGACCAAAGTGAACGAGCCAACTGAATGGGTAAGCCCATTGGTAATTGTCAAGAAAAAAGATGGAAAGTTAAGGGTCTGCATGGAACCCAGGGTAATCAACGCTAACATAAAACGGGAGCATTACGAGATGCCAAGACGGGAGGACATTGAGGCAGAACTAGCTAATGCAAAGGTGTTCAGTCGACTTGACGCGAAAGCTGGTTTTCACCAAGTGCCTCTAGACGAAAAAACATTAAAAATTTGCACTTTCGCCACTCCTTTTGGGAGATATCGGTTCTTGCGGATGACTTTTGTAATTGCGTCAGCATCAGAAGTATTTCAAAAGACTCTCAGCGAAATATTTGATTCTTTGCCGGGTGTTCATGTGTATGTTGATGACATTTTGATTTGGGGAAGCTCGCAGGAACAACATGAACAGCGCTTGAGATCAGTCCTCGAAGCTGCAAGGCAAGCTTTAGGCTGAAGCTAACGCCGAGAAGTGCAAGGTTGGTGTTCAAGAAATAGAATTTCTGGGGGATATTATCTCGAAAGACGGTATAAAACCCAACCGACGGTTAATCGCGTGTATGAAACTGACACCCATGCCGACTGATAAACAGGGAGTGCATCGTGTTTTGGGCGTAACCAGTTATTTTTCCAAGTACCTACCCTCCTTGTCTCAGAGGACGGCTTCCTTGCGCAGTCTAATCAAGCATGATGCTGCATTTGCATGGACCCCAAACCACATGCATGAATGGCAGAGTATCTGTGGCAGTCTTATCGAACAGCCACTGCTTGCAATCTTTGACCCTCAGAAGGAAACAAAAGTGACGTCAGATGCATCAATGTCTGGTTTGGGCTCATGCTCTCATGCAGTATCACGGAAGCGAATGGCGTCCTGTGGCGTACGCATCAAGGGTGCTGACTGACGCGGAACAGCGTTATTCACAGATTGAAAAGGAAACATTAGCAGTGACGTTCGGATGTCAAAAATTTCACTACTTCATCTATGGTCGCCGGATAATCTTGGAAACCGATCATCGGCCGTTGATAGCGACAGCTCAAAAAGCAATCGCTGATGTGTCACCTCGAATACAAAGGTTTTTTTTCTGCGCCTGCTTAAGTATGATTATGGTCTTCGCTACATCCCAGGAGAACTCATCTTGGCGGACATGCTGTCGCGAGACACAGCCGTGAAGCCGGACCAGGACGATGCGGACACTGACGCCGACGTGAAAATACATGCCGTGAGTACGGTTACGGCTCTGGTTAGCGATGTCGCACTGAAGCGGTTACAAGAGGAAATCGAAAAGGATCCCTATTTACGTTCCGTAGTACAGGCCATTCGCGCTGGCCATGTCGTTGAAGGAGAGCTAAAACCTTTCACAGGTGAACTGTCAGTCGTGAAAGGCATCTTACTGAAAGGTACCAAAGGGATAGTACCTGTGTCCATGAGGAGCCAGATAATAGGACGAGTCCACGAAGGCCACATGGGCCTCAATAAGTGCAAGGCAAGGGCAAGTAGATTCATTTTTTTGGCCAAACATTAATGCAGAGTTCACAAATATGGTACATAGGTGTGCTGTGTGCCAACGCTATGCGTATAGTCAGCCTGAAGAACCGCTTATTATGAGGCCGACACCAAAATACCCATGGTATAGGGTCGGCGTCGACCTGTTCGAATGCGGAGGAAAGTCGTACCTGTCCGTGTATGATGCTCTTTCTAGTTTTCCAGAGGTGGAGGAGCTGCGTGACACATCGGCGACAACCGTCATCGACATGCTCGGGCACATATTTTCGTGATATGGTATTCCATATGAGGTGTGTACAGACAACGGTCCCAATTCAGCAGTCGCGACTTGAGCTGGTTTGCAAGCAAGTATGACTTCAGACATGTCACCTCAAGCGCGCAGTTCCCAAGGTCCAACGGACTAGCAGAGAAGGGCGTGCAGGTAGGTAAAAGAATTTTGAAGAAAACAAAAGACGCACGAGAAGATTTCTGGCTGGGCCTCCTGAGCTACAGGTCAACACCCTTAGAAGATGGACTGATCGCCCTGAAAACTACTCCAAGGAAGGCGATTAAGGTCGACACTTCCAGATTTAGTGACCAGAAGAGACAACGCAAGTGTGGAAACGTGTTCAAAAGGGACATTCCAAACGGGATCTGCCACCACTGGACAAGTGACAGACTGTTAGGATCGAGAAAAAGTATTGGTCATGGAAAGCGAAAGTGGTCAAGCAGGTGTATCCAAGATCGTACGAAGTCTTGACAGAAGACAACAAAAGACTTCGTCGGAACAGGCAACATGTGCTCCCCACAAGCGAAGCTTTCATCCAGGGTGCCCTGGAAAGTGAACCCAGTACTTACGAAGTCCTAACAAACTGCACCTGCTACGCCCGACTGTTTAATGCAACACCAGTCATGGCGACATACCCCACTACATCATTACGAAGATACAGCCGCCAGTCCAGGCCACCTCAGCGCCTACAATATGACTCAAGTTTCCAACAGTTGCCCTGAACTCTTTCCCTTTTTTGTGTTTGTGTGCTGTTAATACGTGCATTACACTAGTTGTTCTAGTATGTGCACCTTCAAAAGGAGAAAGATGTATCGTGATGTGATAGTGCAACACACGTCATTTCCACTAGACACGAGCCGTGTCCTTTCTCTTCCCTCTTTCCTGATGGTGTGGCTTTATAAGCAAGCGCAATAAAGGACTCGGGGTTCTTTTTCACCCGTCAACATGTCAGCCTCGTCAATGCCTCACACACGCCCATAGCGCGCGGAACTTTACAGGTTCTCTCTGGCCATAGCCTCCTCTATACCTTCTGTGCCCGTCAAGCCGTCGGCACAACAATAGGAAGAGTGCTGTCAACAGAGCTGCACAGATCCACCGCTAAATTCTTTAGTGGCGCTGCTCACGTAGGGCGGGTGTGTACGGCAGATGGAAGTGCACGCCGTGGGAGCATCGCGGTACGTCTAGTTTGTGGTTTCATCTGCAGTAATCGAGTGTTTCAGTCTAAAGCACCACTAGAAGTACGTGTTCTAAGCATACTTACTGCGAACATAGCCTGAACGATACCTAAATCTGGTTCGCAACCGCACCTCACGCTTATTTGAGTATCGGCAAAACCGGCGTACTGTTATGCGATTTCTATACCTGTATAACTTGGCAAATGTAGTACACCGTTCATATAAATGACAGCGCACGTGCGAAATAATGATTCAGAGGCTTTTGAAAGTGCGAGTTAATGAGGGCACGAACTGAATTTGTTCCCAGAGAGATTGCGGACTCACAATTTTACATATTTTCGCGACAGCGGCTTCTCGAAAAATGTTTTATAAACGTCGTTCTTATTCGTGTAGATGCATGGTTGACAAGGAGTGGCCTGATGAACCATGTGCAAACCAGCACGGCTAGGTCCTTGTAATGCTGGATATTAGACGTAGTGTACTTCAGTAGCACTGAATCTGACACAGCTGGAACGGCTGCTTCAAGTAATGTTTTTAGGGGCTTTTGGCTCCTTTCGAAGTGCCGTTTCTAGAAACTGCCCCAAGGTTTCCAGTACGTAGAGCAGCTTGTCCGAATGATAGAGCAGTCCGCCTGTCTCTTGATGCCGAACAAACTGCCGGAGTGGCTGGTTGGACAGAGCTTTCGTTGTAACGGCACAGCAACCTTCGCAATCTATGTACTCCATAACAACGCGTGCGAGGTAGCCACCAACATAAACAACTGCTGACAGCTGCAACGTTGGAAGACTAGCTGGCACATTTGTACGCTTCAAGCGCTCCAACACATGAATAGCTTCCTCTGGTAGCTTGGCGGAAATCGTTGGCGTCTGCAGCCTGGCGACAACACCTTTCTTCAGGCGACGCCATTTCCCCTCTGCGAAGTCGGTCTCCCTGAAGTGTTTGCTGCACACTTGAGTAGTTCGATGTCGTGTTGGGCACCCAGTCGTCTCTTCGTATAGCCTTTATCCACTGCTGCCATGCTGTCTCCTCGGCAGGAATTTAGTGAAAATAAACACCAGGAATCCTTTGTTTCTCATCCGACCAGCAATGTGGCACACAGCAGTACGCCATCGGGCGCAAGGAGGTCGCATAAAACTTTTTGATCGGCTGCCTTACTTTGACGACGCTATCCTTCGCTTCGTGCAATGGCTATAAGCGCTTACAGGTATATCGGCAACTAATCACAGCAGCGAGGAAACGTCGCGACACGCGATTGCTTAGGCGCGCCAGAGTGCGATACAGCCACAAAAGATGGATGAATGAATGGATGGATGTGGCCATGGTGGCTAAAAGAAAAGGTGTCAGCATCGGCGTGCTAAAGAAAGAGCGAGAATTCATCCAGACGCGGCGGCGCTGCGGTCGCTTTCGAGATGCCCCTCCTCACGTGCGCGCGCGTGTATCAGTTGTATTTCGTTGCAAATATTTTACGTTATTCTGCGAATTATAACAAAGTCTACCTGTCACAATTCTGGCGGCGCGCTGTAAAGCGTGTATTGACACTGAAAACTAGTGTTTTCAATTCAATTCGTATTGTATGAGCTACGAAGCTTAGAAGATAAAGAATCAAGTGACTTGCCGTGAGCTTGACACCAAAACAAAGTCTGTGCAGTTTTCACTTTGATGCCGTGGTGTTCTTCGTGAGGTCTCAATGCACGTAAAGGTATCGGCAACCGTTATTTCTATGACTTGTGCAATCAAGATCTAAATTTACAAGCAAGGCATTTATTTTCACGAAAGTGAGAAACAACATAAAAATAAACACAAAATATGCATTAAGGTTGGAGAGAACTGCAACTTATACGAAACTCAGCTAAAGCAAGTGAATAAGGCAACTAAAAATAACAGTAAATATATGATGATACAATGGGCATACATACACACATGACATTGAGATTTGATTGACAAGCATTGACACAGTCAAAACCAGTTCACGAAAAAAGTATTTCTGCATATGTGAAACACAGCCAGGCAGTGACATCACAGTTGTTAATGGCAGATTTGTATCAATGTGAACAAGACAATAGTAAAATCACAAGAAACAACAAACACAGTGTGAGTAATGCACAATACCATATAATGAAACCTTGTTCTCCGAGTTAACACTACGGCAAATTAGGTAGTACGTCTCACTGACCTCCACTAGGGAGGTCAGTGGTACGTCTACACTTCAAGGACTTCATTTTTTCTCTTTTTTTATTAGACGCATTTTCTCCAGCAACGAGAAAAATGATTCTGGTCATTGTAAAGAATCTAATTATCTGATTTGTCACTTCCACTTGGTGGTGTTCACAGCCGACCATTCTTAACCTCTTCACAGACAGGCAAAAGGTCTGTTATGCTGTCACTTTTCAACTTGTTAAAACGGAAGCAATATGTGAATGCATCTTTCATAGGTTTGACCAGGTCTGTTAAGGACTCGGATGGGTACAGAAGGCATATGATTCTGCTGGAAGCAAGCAGTAATTCTCAGAGTGAAGCAACAGCCTGCTACATTCTTTGCCCTTTGTCTTTTTCACCATCTTCCGGGCCACATAGCCACTGACGTAATAAGTGATTCGGGATTCACTTTTGCGTCCAATGAGATCAGTGTGGTCAGGGAGGGCTTCACAAGCAACAATCATTTCATGAACCTCAGTAAGGCGCCCCACATCTAGAAGCTCATCCAGCTTATTCTGCAATTTTGTTGAATTAGTGTGGGTGCGTGGACATAGAAGGCTGCTCAGAAATCTAGAAGGTATGCTTCCACTGGAGGGTGACTGTGCCAAGCTGTAAAAACTGAGGCAATACACATAGATAAAAAATTGTGTCAGCGAAGGGTGATCATTCGAGCCAGACATTTGCTTCAGAATTAAAAAAAAAATTAAGCGCGCCTTGGCAGAGGCGAGACGTCATCAAGGATTTTGTAGCCCGCGGTTTTCGTGACATAGTGCCGGATGGAAAAGATGCTTGTTAGAGTGACGCGCAGTCCTTCGGCAGTCGATTTACTCAGAAACTCACCCTCCTTAGGTACAGCTATTTCCCAAGTTGCTAAGAACCCGTTGATAACATTGTTCGGCAGTTTCCTCCTCTTCTCGACACGCACTGCATACCGTGTCTACCCCTTTGTATTTGGCCCGATAAGTCTTGATTCGCAATACTCTCGTCCTGGCATCAAACAGCAGAGAACTACCCCAAGTATTATCATAGATCCTTTCCTTGGAAGTTTCCGGCTTAAAGGATCGATAGATCTCTAGTGCGGACTTTTTAATCATGCCTATTCTCCACATGTCGCTCTCCGTTTCTTTAACTTCTTCTTAACCGATAGTTCTTTTTGGCTTGGCCCCCTGCTCTTTTCTAAGTAGTTACCCGTTGATCTTCTGGTTGGCTTCCTTCATTTTGTATTGACATTCCTCATATACAAGTAGCTGAAAATCTTCCTAGCCCAACGCTTCTCCCCCATTTCTCTCAATCGCTTCTCAAATTTTATCTTGCTGCTAGCTTCCCTGCCCTCAAATGATGTCCATCCCATATCACCTTGTACTCCCTGATTTGGTGTATTCCCGTGAGCTCCTAAAGCAAGCCTACCTATTCCACGTTGCTTAATTTCTAATCTTGCTTGAACTTCTGATCTCATGCACAAGACCACATTGCCGAACGTCAGCCCAGGAACCATGACCCCTTTCCATATTCCTCTCACAACTTCATACCTATTGTAATTCCACAGTGCCCTATTTTTTATCACTGCAGCATTCCTGTTACCTTTAGTCGTCACGTATATTTCGTGTTCCCTCAGGTACTCGGTCCCATTGCTTATCCATACGCCCAGATATTTGTATTTATCTGTTATCTCTAGCGTGACCTCCTGTATTCTAAGCTCACTACCTTCGTTGTCATTGAAAATCACGACTGCTGATTTTTCTTTAGTTATTCTGAAATCTAACCTATCTCCCTCATTACCGCAGATGTCCATCAATCTCTGCAAATCTTCCTTGTTGTCGGCCATTAGCACTACATCATCTGCGTACATTAATGCTGGTAGTGCCTGATCAATGAGTTTTCCTTGTTTGATGAAAGAGAGGTTGCAGCCAAATCCACTTCCCTCTAATTTGGCCTCTAATCCTTGTAGGTACATCATGAATAATAAAGGTGACAGGGAGCACCCCTGCCTAAGCCCCCGTTTTACCTCTGCAGGCTTAGATACCTGTTTTTCCCACTTTATAACTACCTTGTTACCTTTATAAATACCCTTTAAAAGATTAGTGACTACATGTTCCACGCCTAGTGTGTCCAGTATTCCCCATAATTCCTCTTGAACCACGCTATCGTACGCTCCCTTGATATCCAAAAATGCTAGCCACAGGGGCCTGTGTTCCTTTTCTGCTATTTCGATGCACTGCGTCAGTGAGAACAGATTGTCTTCCAACCTCCTGTGTTTCCGAAACCCATTCTGCAGTTCCCCCAGCACCCCCTCATCTTCTATTCATGCCTGCAGTCTTTCTTTTATAATCTGCATCGCCAGCCTGTAGACCACTGGTGTCACTGTTATAGGACGGTAGTTGTTTATGTCAGCTTTGTCCCCCTTTCCTTTATAGATCATGCTCATCCTGCTAAGTTTCCATCTATCGGGAACTTCACCATCGATTATTATTTTGCTCACTGCCTCTCTCAAAGCCTGCTTAGACTTCGGACCTAATGTCTTTATCAGCCTAATTGGAATGCCATCTGGGCCTGTTGATGTACTACTAGGAACCCTTTTCTCAGCCCTTTCCCACTCTCGTTGTGAGCCATTGCACCACTTGATTCGTCCTTGTCTATTTTGGTGCATAAAGTACTTCTTTGTTGAATTTTTTCTGTCACCCTTGCTCTTATATATTCAATAGCTTCGTCCCCTTCTAGCCTGGCACCTTGGGCTGTAGTTATAAAACTCTGCTCTAGGCTCGTCTCATTTCTTAGGGAGTTTGGATGGTTCCAAAATTTCGCAGCTGCCTTTCTATCTTTTTTATGTACTTCTGCCAGCCACTGAGCTCCCTTTCTTCTAATCTTTTCATTGATCAGAAGGGATGCAGCCCTTCTACAGCTTAGAAAGGTTTCCCATTTTCTTTCAACATCATCTGTCGGTTGCTCACCCCGCTGCTTAGCATGTCTGTGTTCCCTAGAGGCTTCCTGACGTTTTGCTATGGCTCTCTTAACTTCCTCACCCCACCAACTTTTGGGTTTGTGTCTTCTTTTCCGGGGTGACTTGTTACGCGTCTTAGCAAGCTCTAGCTCAAAGAGTCTAATTAGATACATGTATGTCCACACTGTCTTATTATCCTCCGTGATTACTTTCTCAATTTGTTTAGTGGCTATTTGAATTTTCATTACTGAATAAAAATTTTCCTGTAGTTGCTCATCTTGAACCCCTACGTGAGCAGCGCTGCCCCACGGTGAATTGCAACGTAACATTACGGTGGCTGAGAGGGATGGACGTTGTCGCCGAGGGAGGGATGGACGTTGTCGCCGAGGGAGCGTTCGATAAGGTATACAGGAGGCTATGCGCTGGCATTTACAGAAAAACCGCGCACGCGGATGCCGTTTCGGTTGATGGTGCGAGTACGAACTACGTGCGGGTAAAAACGCTTCCCGTGGTAGACCGCCTGGCGCTCGTACATGGATTCTACAGACAGAAAGCCAGCCCAAACTTTGGATTGGAATGTAGATTCGGAGGTGCAGTTGTTTCACGCAATGAAAGGTCATAAACCAGTAGGTAAGCGGTGTATCGCTCTCATACTGCTCTGCAGCTTAGGAAGTAACTCTCTGTTGCTAAAAGCAAGGTGACTCTACCGTTTTCTTGCGTTGCGCAGGTGTCAACAGGTACTTTCAAATGGCGTGCATCCACGAGAAATTCAGCGCATCTCTAAACAAAGACATATCTTCGCAGACAATATGGGATCACCTCGACACTATGTATGACATGGCGGCTTTGGTAAGTGGCTATTCACATAAGGTTAAGCAGAAGATGAAATTTTCAAGCTGTGAAAAATCCTTGCCAACGTTTATACAACGTAGCTGCCTTCTTTAGGATCGCGACACTTCGCTTTTCGGATGCAACCTCGGAGAAGACGTTCACTTCATGGAATTTTCATCGCTTCAACTATCAGCGAATGCAGTTGAGGCTTTCATGAAGCCGGGTTTTGACAGAGAGAGCAAGCTACATATGTTTTAATCATTATACTTAATTTGTGGACAGATCTTTGACAGGTAGCCTAACAGGTAACACTTTAAGGTCCCTCCGCAATAATGTTTAAGATGGCGCTGCGGGTAATGTTCAAAAAAAAAAAAAAAAGGTCGTGCACCTGAAATTTTTACGCATCACGATATAAGTATCAGTTCATCTTGTGTAGTAATTAATCCTGGTATTATAGTGATAATGAGTAGTTCATTTTCTGTTATTTAACAGGTATGGTTAATCCTGGTTAAGACTGGTTCTATAATTTCTGGCATATTTCATTTAGTGGAACTTGGAGATTGCCTGCTGGTTGTAGGACGCTATTTTGTTTCAGCAATTGTGGAAAGCTATTTTATTAACTGTGTATATTAGTGGTAAGAGCCCCCGGACATGCTGCCAATGCTTAATAGAAATCTGCCCCATTTGCAGTACTTGATTGTTTAACTTGAGCTGTGCCAATGCTTGTCATTACGAAAAGATGTTTTACCAGTTTCATTTAGCCATTGCAAAGAAATTGGTGGGGTATGTTGCATTAGATGTGCTACGGGGATGGGAACTTGCTGGTGCAAGTGTGAGCTTAGCATAAAAGTGTATAGTGTACGTTGAGACACATTTAGAATAGTGAAAACATGGTTGTCTGACCATAAGAACACAGTCATCTTCTAGTGAATACGACGTGTGAACAAAGGTTTGTGGTTTCAGCTTTAGATACAATTGTAGTGGCCACAAGTAGGCTTGATCGAGATGGACAAAGTTGGACACCAGATTCCACCAGTGGTTGTGTCAGAAACACCCAACGTCACACACTGTAGGGTACTGTGCCTTGGGTATGCAATGCAGTCTTGATCTTGCGGGAGGCTTTGATTTGCTTATTGGAGATGGCGAGCCATTTTGTGGGAATGCTCGTTTGTTCGTCTTACATGTACATCAAAGCTTTTCTCAGCCACTGCAGCATTGCGCCCCAGCCTTTCTGAGCACTGCTTCATAATATCAAGGCTTCAACCATCTGGTTCGGAACAGTCATTTAATAAAAGATGCGGCGATAGTGCACATATGTGCCATGTTCTTGTACGAGATTGGTTGGGGGAAAGTGCGTGGCACACGACTTGCGCGGAGTCCGCTAGGGGGCCAGGCAAGGCTGGTGTGCCTCGCATGGGCTCCGTATTGTACGAAGTTTTTGCTGAACCAAGACTGATTTTTTGGTGCTAACAGTGGTCTCTCTTGAACTTCAGCAAGTTGCCGACGCTGCTGGTGAGTGCCTCAAACCTCTTTATTCTTGAGGAGCTTTGCAAACATCAACTCTTGCTTAGCGGGGGAACGCCGCCTCGTTAGCCCTAACGCCACCGGCACCGGCGTCGGGCTCGCGCTTCGGCGCGCGTGCACAAGTTCATTCGGCAACGCAATGGCATACATGGTGAGTGGCACGGATTTACCTGCCACAGAATTCAACCCAGAAGAATGGAGTGTAGTCCTGAATGCCCGACAACGCTCACCTCGGCAACAGTCAAAAGAAACTGAAGGAACGCAGTCAAGTAAAGCGGCGTCAGCTGCCGAAACGCCAGCACGCAAAACGGAATCACCGCCCAGCGTTTCCTCAAAGCTCGCCTACACAACTGTGGCGCGTCCTCGCTTAAAACGACTGCCACGGTTGCCAGTCGATGACTTCAAGATTGTCTTTCGTCCGAGTGCGGGCGTAGATCTGGCCCAATACAACGACGTAGAGTTACGAGCGGCTGTAGTCGCCAAAAGCGGACTGCACTCTGTGGTTGCCGACGAAGATCTTGTGTGCACCAATCTGGCCAAGAATATTTTCACCGTGTCCACATCTTGCGCTGACCGAGTTGCCAACTATGCAAAAATACGAGAACTCACGCTACGTGGTAAAAAAACTGGGATTTCACGCGTACATAGCTCCCCCGGACGGGGCACGGGCAGGGATCATCTACCGCGCTTGGAATGGTGAATCACCTCAGGACTTGCTTCAAGAATTACGCCGGGCAAATCCCCTTCTACCAATAGTCCAAGCAAGGGACATGGGGCGTACCTCACGCTCAGTGCTCATTCACTTCATGGCTGAGGAGCTTCCTCCGTCAGTCAAAATGTTTGGCATCCTCTACGCCGTTTTCAACTTTCGACCGAAGGTGGAAGCGTGCCTAAACTGCAGACAAGTCGGCCACCGACGAGATGTACGTCCTTTGCCAAATCGCCTCACTTGCTCAAGCTGCAGACAGAAACACCCGGAGGACTATCCCTGCACCCCGCAGTGCGTCATCTGTGGGGACGCTCACAAGACGGGTGACAGGGCATGCAAGCAACGCTTTCAGCGTGGCTTCAGCCGTCTCTCTCGGCCACGACAAAGGCCGCAACAAGAGCACCAGCAGGAGCAGCCCGAGTTCCAGCTCGAGAAGGAGTCTTTTCCAAGCATTGACGATAGAAATCGTAGCAGCAGAAGCAAGAGTCCTGGACGAAACCGTAGCAGCAGAAGCAGGAGTCCTGGACGAAACCGTGGCAGCAAAGGCAAAAGCCCTGGACGAAGTGCATCACAAAGCCGCGACTTCAGCACCAAACCCGAAAAGGTGAGCTGGGCAAAGCAAGCCTCCTGCTCCTGTTGTATGCTTTCTGACGCTAAAGAAAATTCTAAAACTCAGGAGACTATCGAACGTCTAATGCGAGAGAATCAAGAGTTAAAGCAACAGTTGGCTCTGGTGCTGGAACGTTTAAGTACACTTACAGCTGCCCCACCCGCGTCTTCTCCACCCCTATCTATCTCCCCCTCTGTCATAGAGCCTGATATGGCAGCAAAATCAGGGACCGATATTATAGATTCCTCTCCACAGCCAGCAAAAAAGAAAAGGACAGAGCAACCCGAGTCATCGGAGGACGATTTTAAAAGCACCAGTCAAAAAATTCGGAAAGAACACCGCGAACTCAAACAAAAGGTTGATTTAGGCTTTACGCAAATTGCTGAACGCTTCAATAAGATAGAGAGTATTCTAGACGTGTTAGTTGCTCGGCTCGAATCTCTTCCACAATCTCAACCCTCTCCAGCGCCTTCGCAGCCATAACCCCCTCCTGCACCCTCGCCTCATCTTCACCCTCTTCACTCTGCATATGGCAATGGAATAGCCGTGGATTAAGAAACAAGAGAGACAACCTCTCACTTTATATACAGCGGTCTACACGGGCCCCTGATGTCATCTCCGTACAGGAGCCTTTAAAAGCTTGCAAACTCCTCGGCTATCAGGCTGTACATTCGCATCCTAGCTCCCCATGGGCTACCACATATATATACAGAGGAATATCTCGTTTATAGCGCATGATCTTTCCGACCTTTACAGTGACTGCCTTCTTCTTGAACTTCTCCCACGTCGTACAGGACAAGGCACATATTTTATTTTAAATATTTATTCTCATCCTAGAGATGGCCTCACTGCTGTTTTTGAAGCAATTGATAGGGCCATTCAAATAGCAAACTCTGCTCCCATAGTTGTAACGGGTGACTTTAATGCCCCGCACGTAGATTGGGGTTACAGGAGAAACACTCGGAAGGGCACCAGCCTTCTTCAATACATTCAGCGAAACAGGTGCACTCTAGTCACTGACTGCATGCTACCAACATGAATTGGCAACAGTGCGAGCAGAGATACCACCCCTGACCTTACTTTCACTAAAAATGTGCGACAAGCTAACTGGACACACAGTGGGGTCAACCTCGGCAGTGATCATTACATCCTAACAATTACACTGCCCCATGCCAATTTTCGTCCACAGTTTCATTTAAAACATATTGTTGACTGGGATAAATTTCTCGAAATCCGAGACCGAAACCCGAGACCGAAACCAGAGAAAAGAAATTCAAGACTACAAAGACTGGGTGTCTCAGCTTAAACAGGATGTAGCTCTTAGCGAAAAAGTAGCCCCAGCAGCACATATCCGTGATCCAGTAGACAGCAGGCTACTCCACCTATGGGAGGCCTATTAGAGCTTGGAGAAACGATGGCTCAAGCAAAAATATAATCGTAAACTAAAACGCAAAATGTCACAAACACTCCAGCTTGTAACTGAACACGCGGCCGAACTTTCATCGCAGCAATGGAACCAGATATGTAACCGGCTCGACGGTACTCTACATATGAAGAACTCTTGGTCCCTGCTTCGCCATATGTTAGATCCATGCTCCTCGCGATGTGAAAGTAATAAGCGAATTACGAAACTCTTGTTTGAAGTAGAAAAACAAGGGCAAGACGTTGAAACTGCTCTTAAAACTACGTATTTCCCTGGCCCAAGGCGAGAATCGTTGCCTACCTACAATGGAGCTCCCAATGCAGACTTGGATGCACCAATTGCAGAGGCGGAAGTTTGGGCTGCCCTAAGCAAACTTCGCACCACATCTGCTCCAGGACTAGATGGAATTACTAACAAAACACTCCGAAATTTAGACTCCAAGTCAGTGGCAGCTCTTACCGATTACATGAATCAACAATGGGAGCAGGGCACGCTGCCCCAGGAATGGAAGTCAGCTAAGGTGACTTTCATACCCAAACATAATAAGCCGTTAGACCTTGATAATTTGAGACCGATCTCTCTTACCTCATGTACAGGAAAACTGATGGAGCATGTAATTCTCAATCGTCCTAATCGCTATATGGAACAAGAAAAACTGTTTCCCTCCACCATGTACGGCTTCCGAGCGGGACTCTCCACTCAGGATGTCATGCTGCAGCTTAAGGAGGACGTGCTAAATCCTACTTTTCCAC